CGCGCAGAAACGCGGACGTCGGGGCTGCTTGGAAATTGCCTCGGAATTTTCCGCGGTGGAATGGAATTTCGCGCGATTTTTATCATTCAACGGCGACTAACTTCTACGTCTCTCTTCGTCCAACCTGGGACCAGCTTCGGGCTGGAACTCGACGTCGTTAACGTAGCCCTTTCAGTTTCCACGATCGAGGCAATTAAGTCGAAAATGAGATGATCAACTATTACGCTCGATTTTAAATGACTGGATCGTGCTCGTCGTACTGCGATTAACGCGTGAAAAGGGTAGTTGGTGCAGGATTCTACAGGGGTTGGTTATGAGCAAGAGCACGAGATTTTTGAGAAAAGTGGACATTTTTGTTGCGTCTCGTGTTGCGACATGAGAAGTACACGAACGAGCAATTAAAATTTACACGGGGAAAATTCTCACGATCAGCGAATCTCCGATTTTTCAGAGTCGTGTCGACGATTATCCTCGTCGTATCGGATTATCTTCGGTACGTTCAATCGACGCGAAAACACGGAGATAATCACACGGGAGAAGTACCAGCAGAAGAGAGTCTGACGATGAGGGAAAAATTGCCAAAGGAACAAGGCTTATCGCACGATACAAAACGACGGTCACGGCTCTGACACGTAAACTCATTTAGATGCGTTACACGCCGCGAAATAACAGTCCTTTAAGCTCGTGGCGAGCCGATTAATTGTCCGAGCAGAGGTTCGCTAGCCCCCGTTACACGCGAATGCAAATCGACCGCCGCTGCAGGTGGAAATTACGATTGCGTTCTACGTTCTACGCGGAAATCAGGCGGCCTCGCTTTTAAACAAACTGTCCTGGGGCCACGTGAAATCTCGCGAGCAAGTGGATCGCTTCCGAGTTACGGTTATTTCGGGGAGTTCGTGATTTTCTTCTCGGTAAGGAGTTTGATATGAAATATCGATTGATATTCAAAGCGTGAAATCGATTTTCTTACGTGTTTCAATCGAACAGATTGGTATTGCGAAAACGTCACATTAGAGTGGTTTACAAGCAGAAAAGCGTGACAGGAGGAATACCGATAAGAGTAGAGTGCACTTAGAATATTGAGACGAGATAATCGAACGATTGTACGTATGGTATCTATTTTTGTCTGATTCGTTGTACCTATATCATCGTTGTTAATCGTTATACAGGTTTTATTTAAAAAAAACCTTTATAATTCTATCACATTAATTATTCTATCGGATCTTCCGTCCCAAAAATTCGTAAATCATCCCTGTCCAGATCTTCCAACTACACCCCTAACTCTTATGAGACGGTTATCGTGTTCGTTTCTACAAGTTGTCTTGATAATCGTGTTACGATCGATTTGATACTCGAAAACGAAGTAACATAAACATAAAATCGCATCCTATATTATCAATGTATTTTCTCACATAGAATCACCATGACCATCGCTGCATATCCTGTACAAATTTGTACGTACTACGGTACATACAAACGTACGCTAAGATACGTATACTTTTCACATGTGTGGCAAACTTCGAAGTTTCTCGTGAACGTTCAGCGACAGTCTCGAACGTCGAAACAAAAGGTGTATTATATTATCGTCGTTTAGCTCCTTCTCCGCGAAGAAATCGCGCGAAGCGGGTAACCTTCGACGCTCTTATATCCTTCACGGCTGAGATCCTGTCCACGGGATCTTCTTTCCTCCGCGGCTCGTTATGCAACACGATTCCATTCGACGCCGGACCGTTAATTTAATTCGCGCTTTCCACTTAATTAATCCCAATTACGCGTGGCGTCGAGGTATAGCAACGGGGCTCGTACTCGACTCGCGCGATATCAACCTCTCTCTCTCTCTCTCTTTCTCGCTCGTTCCACACGCTCGTTCCACACGCTCGTTCCACACTCTCCTCCACCTGAATGCCCCTTTAATCCGCGAATACCCAGGCTCTCTTGGCG